GTTGGTGGCTTGGTGGCGCGGCGCTTCGAACCTCCGGCGGTGGCTCGTTCTATGGCGGGGATGGAAGGCGTGTCCCCGTCCGGTGGTGCTGCCTCGACAGCTGCTGCGGCTTGGGGCTCTTGACCCCGATTGGATCTGGGTGGTGCTCGGGTCAGGCCGTGGCAGCCTGTCAGGCGTGGTGTCGTCGGGTCTCGCAGCCTTTGGGCACTGTGGAAGTGCCGGCGGCGTGTGCTCGACCTAGTGGTGCTGGTGGTGGCGGCGGCCCGAGCACGAGAGATGGAGCTTCTTCGAACATATCTGGGTGAAAACTTGCTTTCGGCTACCCGGCGGTGGCGATGGCGTCTGTGTCGTTCCCTTCTTGAAGGCATCGCTGTAGAGAAGTTCAAGGCCACTTTCTGTTGCCTCCGGGGAAAACCTAGATCAGTAGTTGGATGACGGCGACGCTCAGGTGTCGTTTCCCCCTTGGGGGCGTCTTTCATGGAGCCACACACAAGCTCGAGGGACCAGATGACGACTTCTTTGGTGGAGCGGTGCTTCATCTTACACACTGATGGCGGCAAATCTCATTAGTGTGGCGTTGTGGAGACTCGGAGTCTGATGCGCGGAGATGGACTTGCACAGGACGAGGATGTTGTTTGGTGTCATGGTGGCTTTGATGGCAGGGAGTCCTGGCAAGGTCGGTGCATTAGTTTCTGCTCTGAAGATGGATTGGTCGAAGATGGCGGTGACGACATAGAGAGTGCGTCAGACGAGTTTGTGCCCCAAACCCAGTATGTGGCTTGGTTGGGGCCTCTGGCTTTAGATGTTAGGCATTTGTGTGATGTCTGTTTGGTATTAGGTTCGGATTATCGGCACCCCTTCATCAGGTGGATAGGAGTGACGACAGTTCTTGCTAAGATGGTGGCTTCAGACTACCCGATGAACTACTTTGTAAGGTCTTTGTGAATAATTAATAAAATGATTGCATGCATCTACCAACAATGCTTTAAAAAAAGCTTTTACATGCTACACGCATATATATACCCAAGAAAAGGAAGTTGTGAAACAAATGGCAATGAAGCTTGGATGATGATCTAGCAGCAAGATCTTGATGCATGGGTTGTAGCTTTTATCCTCTTCACGCTATATCCTCTGGTGCATTGCGAGGGATTTGATCTTTTTATTTAGTAGTGTTTCAAACTACACAAATATGAATGTGTGTATCAAACTATTAGTCGGTGCAGAACCTGGACGTATTGTCCCTTTTTGAAGAAGAAAAAATAGAAGTCAGGCTATCTAAGTAGATGTATATATAGCTCATTTGCATTCACTGTTTAATAGCTGAAGTGATTAATAATCATTTAGTTGAACAATTAATATGTATCTGTTAGCAGTTGTCATATGTTAGTTCCTCTTACATACTTCATATTATGTTGGCTGGCCAGCTTCGTCCAAACTGATAAAGTAGTTCATCAAGCACAAAGTACTATATTTAACAAGTATCCCACTTTCTTGTTAGTGACAACTCAAGAAACTAAACCTCTCATCAATATTGGTAGTGATTAACGCCAAACTAATTAGGGGATTGCCATCTTTATTGATTAATTTCGTAGGCTGGATCTTGGTTACATGATTAATCAAAGAGCAAGTGTGCCACATTTCTGCAGCTTCAATCTTTCGAGGCCTTCATGGCCATAACCGAAAATTCTCGAACCCAAAATTTATACTGGCTCGGCTGATGGGCCAAGTATGCTACACAAATAATGATACAGGCCTCGCAGAGTAGTCAAAGAAGATAAAAATTACTAAGGCATCCTTTGATTCAAAGGAATTTCATGGTTTTCGGAGAATGTGGATACTTATGAATATTTCCTACATAGTGCTCTACACACTATTTTGGAGGAAAAAAAATCATCCACTCAAACCACTTTATACAGTTCCTTTTATTTTACCTACGACATCAGAAACTCTTTGGTTATAATTCCTATGTTTTCTCATCTTATATTGACGGTGTTACAGCCCAGGGTTACCTCACCTTGCTGGTAGTCAGCCTAAGTAGGTTGTCCCGAGGACCCCTAGGTCGGTTTTCGCTCTGGGCCATCATGCTGGCCCATGGTCTCTGTAGAGGAAAGATTCTAGAAGTCTTGCCTTACAAGATAAGGAAGACAGATATGTGGAGGATTCTCCACTACCGATGTAGCCGACTAGGAACATGTAACCCTAGGGCAGTGGTATCTTATATAAGACAGGGCCGAGCTAGTTGATAGACACCTTACAATAAGTTAGAACCCTCGATTATAACATGTACTATGTACACACCTATACATCAATGCAACATGAGTAGTAGTAGGGTTTTCCCTGTATGGAGGGCCAGAACCTAAGTAAATATGTGCTCATGTTTCTCCTTCGATCTACTCACCTCATCTGGATACCCTGTCAAGGGATCTACTCTATTCTACACTGACATATAGAATTCAGGAGGACATGTCATTATAGTCACATTCCAGCATTTGGACAATCAAACATATCAAGGAGGCCATAGAAGGCTCTTCGGTATGTACACACCTATACATCAATGCAACACGAGTAGTAGTAGGGTTTTACCTGTATAGAGGGCCTGAACCTAAGTAAATATGTGCTCATGTTTCTCCTTCGATCTACTCACCTCATCGGGATACCCTATCAATGGATATACTGTATTCTACACCAACATATAAAATTCAGGAGGACATGCCATTATAGTCACATTCCTGCATTTGGAGAATCAAACATATCAAAGTGGCCATAGAAAGCCTCTTCGGTTCGGGACTACCAATACATAGCAACAAAAAAAATTGGATGTCACGTCAGATTAATTCCTATAGAAACTGAATACACATCATTCTATAATATACCTATTTGGTTGTACCATAGCAAGTACGAGGAAATTACCTGAAACAATTGTGGACATGACATAGTTATCATAGAAATAATAAAAATTCTATGAGGTTACTCAACCAGAATTATTTTTGAACTTCATGTAGAGGAGAAAATAGGATTTCCCACGTTTTCTAATCGAACAAATCAGAGAAAAATCGTAAGGAATGAAGTTGTCCAATGTTCCGAGTACTAATTTTATATATACCGGTGGAGACCCTAAAAATGTACCATGTATGGTGGGGGAATGCTCCTCGCCCGATGTGTACCATCTCTCTCTTTGGAATATTTAGAAAATCTCGACGAACCTGCACAATGCCTTTTCATGAACTTTTTCAGTAATGGTCATTATTTACAGGCTCATAATATAGCATCAAGTGGATACAAACACAATTAGAACGCTCCTTGTCATTTCATTAACTAGAACAAGAACTGGCCAATTAATTAAGAAAACTTGCCAACATTGTGGTTTGAATATTTCTCTTTTAAATATCCCCTCATGGCTATTACAATATCCATCCATGGTCACACGGCTTGTAGCCCCAAGCATGTTTTCTTATCTCAGGTATGACCCGAGCTACGTAACATTGGGATGTCCGTTGCATGACACTCCGAATCATTCCTAAAAATATCTAGCCATACCACATAGGACATAAGGTTAGAAATACTGTATAAAGATAACAGAAACTACAAAACCTCCAAATGATCTCGTTTGGTAGCTAGATTGTCATATTCGGTTACTGGTTTGTAGCACATTTAGTTCCATTCTTCAATTCTAGAAATATATATTACTCTTCTGTGTGTAGGTTAATAACGTTAGCCTTTGTTAAACCCCTTTCACCCTGACATGCATATGGCTAACCTTATTACATTGTATCATTACAAAGATATCAAACTTTGATCTTGTTGCCAATAGGATAGAAAGTTCAAAAACATGGACAAAACAAAGAAGAGCAAGCCAAACAAGATCTTTGTAAAAACTCATAAGCCCATCACTGGCACACCATGCAAAACATGACATGAATTCCCACTAAGCCAGTCTGGCTTCTTTGCGCCAAGCTACATTGGCTCTTTGTGTTAAATCATATGCAATAACCCACGTCACCAATTGGTACACATAATAGCACCTTCATACGAGAATGAACTTTCTTTTATCAAAGATGATATGCTTTCTACATAATCGCAAGACCAAAATGAGAGATCTTAAGATTTATCAACTCCCATTGTCTAGACCCAAAAAATGTGAAATACTACAACCTCGGGTGATATTAAAAGGTAAATACATAGATCATCATGAAACTCATTCTATACAATAGTCAAAAAAGAGACAATGAATGGACCTTGTTCATAGCAACATCCCCAATGAGTATCCAACTGTCATATTTGTTTTAAAAAATTATCCTTAATTATCACAACTTTTTATAGAGAACAACAGAAAATATTTATCTACACAGAAAATTAAGACACCATAAATTTTTTGAATAAAATTTACCATCTTATCCATGAAAACCAAACACATGAAGCGCAGAGAGGAAACCCCAGAAGTGTGAAGATCTCATTTAAGCAAGTCATGCTTTGTACAACACACATCCGCAATCTCGAGGACAATTTCATTTGAGTCTGCTAAATGTGGACCAGTGGTAGCTCTACAAAAAATTCTCCCATTTGTTCTTAGCTCCAATAATCACCTAAGGAGTGACATTCCTATAACAAGCAATACGAAATATAAGGATGGGGGGTAAACAAAGAGGCCTATCCCTGATATAGCTATCCTCCCGCGACAAAATTTTGGCCACTCACACACCAAATGATGAAAAATGAACAAAAGTATCTTTAACCATCATGAGGCCCTTTGGAAATTGGGAGTCCGTTGGTTGTCTTAAACCATTGAGATTGCCTTTTTCCCCAAATACTTATTGCCATGTAAGAAAAACTAACACAATCCGCACTTGGTTAGCAACTTAAACAACCATTTACTCAAAAGACACATGTTTTTTTACTTCTAGATCATGAAAACCAAGGCTACACCATCTTTAGGGATACATAATGTTGTTCATATGAAAACAACCCCTGACTAGGGGTATCTTAATAATTCAATCAAATATAAACTTAGTGACTATGGACTTATAGCGAAGGTCATCATACACGAAAACAAGTAAACAAAATGGCATTTTTGGAATAGGTTTTGTCACCTCCATGGAGTGTGGTCGACTCCTTGGAATCA